TGAATTATGTCATTTCCTGTATTCAGATTTATTCGATATCAATTGACGTATACAGCAGTGATTTTTTATTAAAAATAAATTACATCATATTCTGAAGCTATATAATTTATAAATTATACTTTAAAATTTTCAATTTAGAGACATTACGTTGAAATGTTATCATTATGGAAAAAATATTTGAGCATGATCATATCCTGAAGTAAATTTTATTTCTCTTTCTCCATTTTCTCATCTTCTTCTTTGTTTCAATCTAGTTTTAAGAGTGCAACAACACACTATATTTGAATATACCCGATCATTAATCTAAGATTTAAAATAAGCTCTCATTTTCCTTTTATTTAATGTGTCACTTCTTAAATACGATATGTTTTATATTTACCGATCCAGACATCCTTTTCCGGTGTCCCAAATCCGTTTTTATAATCTTCCCAATTCTTTTCGAAGCTCTGGGATCCATCCTCTCGTTTTTGTATAACCTTCCAAAGATTAATATATTTCAATTATTATCGTGACGAACATTCGTGAGATAAGTGTAATAAAAACTCAGAATGTGTATGCTTTTTGTCCCCTATCAATCCCTTGCATAACAAAATTACAGATTCCAATATACAGATCATATGCAAGTTTTGAAGCTATATACCGTCCATCCACCGTCCATTGTGTCCATATCACAGTAAACTCTGACAGGACGGGAACTTGTGCCATAGGGATAAATGTTGTACACACCGGAAGTAGTCTGACCATTTTCATGGAGGTCCTTACAATCTAAAGGAAGATCTGAAACAGAACAAGATGTGTTTGTGAAACACTGATGCCCCGGTATGGCAGCTTATGGCGAAGGTTAAAGTTTCTTAAATGCACGTCAAACTCCAGGTCAATAAATCAAAAATGTTGGTATCCAAAGAAAGGTCTTGTCTCGAGGAATATACCTGTGAAATAAGAAAGCCCTAGTAAAAAAAAAACGTTGAAAAGTTAAGGCGAAGGTTAAAGTTTTTTTAAAAGTAAATAAAAGGGAAAGGTCAAGGTCAAATGGTGCCCAAGGGAAGTTCTTGTCACAATTAAGTGATACACATGATTGTGAAAAGTGAAAGCCCTAGAACCAAACGCTCAAATATTATGGCCAATGTGAAAAGTTTTTAAAAGTAGGTCAAATTACAAGGTCATGGTCAATGCCAATATTGTTGGTATCCAAAGGAAGGTCTTGTCACAAGAAATATACATGTAAAGTATGCAAGCCCTAACACCAACTGTTCAAAAATTATGGCCAAGGTTAAAGTTTTTCAAAAGTAGGTCAAACGTCAAGGTCAAAGGCTCAGAGTTGTTGGTATTTAAAGGAAGGTCTTGTCACAAGGAATTTATATGTTAAGTATAAAAGCCCTAACACCAACTGTTCAAAAGTTATGGTCAAGGTTAAAGTTTTTCAAAAGTAGGTCAAACTCCAAGGTCAAGGTTAAAAGGTCAAAGATGTAAGTATGCAAAGAAAGGTCTTCTCACAAGGAATCCATATGTGAAGTATGAAAACCCTAGCACTAAACTTTCTAAAGTTATGACCAAGGTAAAAAAAAAAATTCAAAATTGAAGTAGGTCAAACTCCAAGGTCAAAGGGTCAAAGATGTTGGTATGCAAGGAAAGGTTTTGTCACAAGAAGTACACATGCAAAGTAAAAAGACCTAGCTTAAACTGTTGAAAAGTTAAAGCCAAGGTTAAAGTTTTTTCAACAGTAGGTCAAACTCCAAGGTCAAAGGGTCAAAGGTGTTGGTATCCAAAGGAAGGCCTTCTCACAAGAAATACACATGTGAAGTTTGAAAGCCCAAGCTCCAAGTGTTCAAAAGTTATGGCCAAGGTTAAATATTTTGCGGACAGTCAGACAGACGGAAATATTGACATTTGTTAACATTTAAATATCTTTGAGCACAACAGATTAATAAAAATTTACACACGCAATGTCCTCTACACCCACCCGTTCTTATAGTTTGTATTTATTGTTCCTGAAGTGTGTGTTTCGTTTTCGATAGCCTCAAAGTCTTGTTCGACAAACGATTGAATTCTTAATACTAATTAATTAAGGAAATTACAAAAGCTGAATTTCTTTTGATATACATAATACTGTCCGCGTCGTTTAGAGGGTTTTGGGATAGTTTGGATTGCTTTCGCCAAGTGCTATTTCATAACCAATGCCGACATCCGAGTTCTCTCACACCTCAGAGATGCATCCACACAGCCAAGACAATAAATAGCACTAGCTAGGCATGCATATTAGTTAATCCTACATTATTTAAAAAAAATATGTACATAAAATGTTCATCTTTGTTTCATTCTGAAGATTTAGGTCTTAATTAATCAGCTGTTAAAGGTACGCACACAGACTGAAAGATAGTTGTTAACTGGTCGAATTTACCCTGCTTCCCTAAAAGCAGTGATGGTTATTTCGACTAAAATTAAACAAACGTTTCTTGTGCTTTTTAAGAGAAGTCCAAGAATTAAAGTTGCATTGTGAACAAGAATGAAAACCTATATTGCATGCTTTCTTTTTTATTTATTCTTAAATGCGAGCTTTATTACCGGTTTAATACTTCAATATAATTAATATGGTAAAAAGTTTTGTTTTTGTTTTTTTTTTTTTGGGGGGGGGGGGGGTCACTTCCTGCAAGCATTTTTTCCAATAATGAAGATCTATATACATCTATGTGCAAATAAATAATTGACTAAGTTTGGCCACATGAAATATTTTTTTCACAAACTCCCAAAAATGTTCTATCAAGTGAAAATATGTCATTTATAAGGAAAATGGCCAGTTAGTGAGAATTTTGAACATCATAGAGCTCATTTTCTTCATATTTTAAGAATTTGTTATTTCCTAAAGTTTTAAAATGTATATGAATCTCGGGATGCATGTTTGTGGCAAGTGTACTTAAAAATGTTTGTTTAAAAAAGATTTTCATGGTCATTGAAATCAGTATGACTCACTTTTATTGGAATTGAATATTGCTAACAAAAAATAAAAAAAAAAAAAAAAATTTTCATTCAAAGCATATTATAATTTTTCCATGTATTTCATAAGAAATGATTTAACATGAGTAGTTAAAAAAAAAATACTGGCCCAATCCTGACAGGTGCTTCAATATAGAATATGTCATTTGTTAATCCTTTACTTTTTGGTTTCAAGTAGCTAAATATTGAGTGGAATAAGATATATACGTTTTCAGCTTTTTGTTGATTGAATCTTAAAGAGATGTAACAAGAAGTCTGTGAGCGAATGCTCAGTAGTAATACCCCCGCTCTGATGTGAATATACGGTTACCCTCTCATTCGATGTTGACATCGAATTCATACAAAAATGAATCCCACCATCTGGCATGCCTAAACAAAGATTGTGCTAAAATTTCAAGCATCTTCGCTGAGTAGTTGCAGAGAAATCTGTGACGGAAATTTGGTACAGACAGATGCACGGTTAAACAGGAAGTTGACGTCAGATTTAAACAAAAATGAATCCCACCATATGGCCTGCCTAAAAAAAGAGTGTGCTAAAATTTCAAGCATCTGTGATGAGTAGTTACTGAGAAAACTGCAACAAAAAATTTGCTATGGACAGACGCACGGATAAACAGGAAGTTGATATCTAATTCATATAAAAAGAAATCCCACCATTTGGCATGCCTAAACATAGATTGTGCTAAAATTTCAAGCATCTTCGCTAAGTAGTTGCTGAGAAATACGCGACGGAAATTTGGTAAGGACAGACGCACGTATAAACAGGAAGTTGACATCGGATTCAATCAAAAATGAATCCGACCATATGGCATGCCTAAACAAAGATTGTGCTAAAATTTCAAGCATCTTCGCTGAGTAGTTGCTGAGAAAACTGAGACCAACATTTGTGTTACGTATGGTACGGACAGACGCATGGATAAACAGGAAGTTGACATCGGATTTAAACAAAAATGAATCCGACCATATGGCATGCCTAAACAAAGATTGTGCTAAAATTTCAAGCCTCTGTGATGAGTAGTTGCTGAGAAAACTGTGACCAAAATTTGTGTTATGTATGGTACGGACAGACACACGGGTAAATAGGAAGTTGACATCGGATTTGAACAAAAATGAATCCGACTATATGGCTTGCCTAAACAAAGATTGTGCTAAAATTTCAAGCATCTATGATGAGTAGTTGCTGAGAAAACTGCGACCAAAATTTGTGTTATGTACGGTACGGACAGACGCACGGATAAACAGGAAGTTGACATTGGATTTGAACAAAAATGAATCCGACCATATGGCATGCCTAAACAAAGATTGTGCTAAAATTTCAAGCATCTATGATGAGTAGTTGCTGAGAAAACTGTGACGAAAATTTGTTACGGACAGCCACACGGACACACAGAGAGACAGACAGACACACACACAAGGGTAAAACAGTATACCCCTCTCCTTCGGAGCGGGGGTATAATAAAACTTACTTTTATCAAAAGTTAGACTAGGTGAGTACGCCATTAACAGTACCGTATTGTGCTAAGATTTATTATTTAAAAAAAATCATGGTCTGTCCCAATACTTGGAAATACCTAACAAAATTTTATGCAAGAAAAGGACTGTTCTTGAATAAAAGGATAGTGCATTCGTATAGGAAGTTTGGCGTATACAAATAATTTAACAGACCCCTTTCACATGTATTTTGAAGATCAGCAGCTGATTAAAAGACACATTCTGAAAGTTGCGGAGGAGTTAGCAAGAAAAAGATATTAACAGCTTTCCCCAAAAAGAAAACTATTGCTTAAATTGTTTGTGGGAAAGGGGGAATATGTTCCTACTTTTACACCCCCCTCCCCCCTCCCACGAGATACTACGTGTAAGATTGATAATACGTTTTAATGATACAAGACAGAATTGAAAATTTCCAAATCTATCCTTCCACGTAAATTCAAAGTTATGATCTAAATTTTTATCTTAATGCTCAAAACAAGATTCAGTTATGATGATATATGTATATAAAAATTTCAAACCTTGGCAAACCAAGTCTGTTTTCCAAGTTCCATCCTTACGACATACAATCACTCCGGATCCTCGCTGTTCGAAAGAATCCAAGCATTTTATGTGCATTTGTTTATATATTCCTATCCCGTCCCCTTCCTGTACATCCCACGTGGTATTCTCCTTGTGCATAGGGATCCCACAGTCTAACAAAAAAAAAATCTCTGTCAAGATTACTTACCTAAACATTACTATCTTAACACAAGAAGTCTATGAGCTAATGCTCACCAGTAATACCCCTGTGTATATACGCTCTCATGTGTATATGCATAAGTTCAGTTCAAGAAATAATGTACTTAATATGATTTTTTTTAAGATTCGTCATTTTCATCATCATTAACGAATATCCAGAAAGACAATGTCCACAGTAACAAAATATAAAAATCAAAGCAACGCAGGGATAAAAAGGAGGTTGACATCGAATTAATATAAAAATAATCCCACCACATGGCATGCAAAAAGAATGAGTGTGCTACAATTTCAATCATCTGCGAAGAGTAGTTGCTGAGAAAACTGCGACGAAAATTTGTTACGGACAGACCCACACCCAGACAGAAACACAAGGGTAAAACAGTATACCCAATCTCCTTCGGAGCGGCGATATAATATTAAAAATACAATAGGTTTTGTGAACTCTGCGATGGATAAAATTTGAAGTCGTGCTCAAAGTGCATGAACTTATAAATACCGAAGAAGAAGTATCCTCAGGGACAGACTGTCAAGATGTAGAGATATAAGGTCAGAGGTTAAAAAAAGAATAGTAATCATGCTCAAATGTCATGAATGACAAAGAATCGAGCGACAGGTATCCTACATATATGGGCAGTGTACGTTTCAATGGCAATGCTTTTTTTTAAAGTGCAATCCTGATGCTATCTGGATGCTGTTTTTTATTCTGATACTGATTTATGTATCAAATTTAGTTCCTTTCACTAAACGTAAATTATCCCAGATTTTGTTCTAGTGCCGACAGACCATATCGACTTTCTTATAAATTGTCATAATAATATTACATGTACTATTAAAAATATTTAGTTAGGAATTTATTATTTTCAGGGACTTTTAATAAATGATAGTCAAGCAGAATTTGGTAAGTATTGAGTTAATGGCCACAGAATTATAGACATTGTCGACGACATTTTCAAATCCTCAAGTTTTTTGACGATTTTATCTATAATTAAAAAAAAAACAAATATAATGCTTTCAAACTGAAACATCTACCTGACTATATAAAAAATATATAACTCAACAATTATCAGTTATCTTAAGGTATAAATCTCTCATTTCCATGCCTTAAAAAACCTTTTATTATGTTAGAAAAAATAACAATTAAAATATCAAAACCTTATATTAGTCTTGCAATGGTGAATTATTTTTCAAACAAGATCGATACTTTCAAGATCTATTGAATAAAATGTTAAGCCTCTTTAAACAAGTATTTCAATGTGTCAAGGTCGGAAGGTTGTGAGTTCGAATTTCGGCTGCGACTGACCCAAGTCGATGAAAAAAATAGGTAGCAGTTGTTCCTTCGCCAAGCGCTCGGCACTTTGAAGTGAAAGTTACGAGTCCTTCGGCTGAGACCTTAAAAACCGAGGCCCCGTGTTACGGCAGGCGTTGATACGATAAAGAACCCTCACTGCTCAATGGCCCTAAGTGCCGAGTGAAGGTCAAAATTTGAAGCCTTTCACCGGTATATGGTGACGTCTCTATATGAGTGAAAAATTCTCGAATGGGACGTAAAACAACATACAATCAATCAATCAGTGTGTCAAACTGTGGAACTACATGTTTCATGCATAATTAGAATATTAATACGAAATCGTGCTGACTGAGCATTACATAATGTTTTGATCCCATCGAAAAAGAACACGCTATTTATGACGTTGAATGGAAAGTCTGGACAAAAGAATAAGAGTTTTGATTGATGGTAAATGAAGTATTAGTGAACAGAGATCACTGTTGTTTACTTACATTGGGAATGTACATGCAAACAGTGTTTTCAATTGCTTTGTTTTGGTCTAATACAATATAATAATACTTTAATAGATTCTAAATTGTGTCCTTAACTGTAGATTTTCATTTATTCCATTTTTCATTAAAGGGCAGATCACTCTAACTGCATAAAACTACCATGGGATTTAAACTCTTTACTTAGCAGTCTTTTGAGCTTCCTTAACTACTCAGTCAATCGATATCTAATTTTATTTATACGTTTTTTTTTTTTTAGTGAATGCAAAATTATATATTTTTATTTCGGGTGCTTTCGAAATATTTTAAATTTAATGTTGTATTTATATTAACGACGATATTTTTTTCTCATTAGATATATCACAAAGGAGTCAACTGAAAATGAATCATTGTTAAGGGAATAAAGTTGCACTGTGGTCGGGATTATTCTCCTCGGAAAGATAATGGAGAAATGCAACAATAGAGAGACACCAAAGGTGACAATTATTCTACATAAAAAACAACTAAACTAGTCAATACCAATGCCTCATCACCGAAGTAGAAAAAAAAAGATACAAGAATCTTCTATTGTGCGTAGCTGAATATATTTATTCAACGAATTGTGTATCCCGGAGCCTTTTCCAGGGCTATAGAAAAAAAAACAATTCCTTGATTAATATTTGATACAAATTATATAAAATTACCAATCGTGGTTTATTGTTTTCATCTCACGTTCTTATCTATTATGAATTATTTATCTCTATATTAATCCTTCTTTCAACATCCACTAAGCTGCATAACAACGGAAAAAAAATACTACGCAAATCAAAATAATGTGAATAAAAAAAACAAAAAGTGCAAAGGCAAAAGTACATTTAAAAGTATTTCTTTTCATATTCTTTTCCCTGCAATGAAAAATAGTGAAATGTAAGTAATTGATACTATAACCTATTCTTATGTAAGTAATTGATACTATAACATATTCTTTTTTTTTTTCGCATCTAATACAGGCACGAAATCACCCAAAAGCAAAGGATTAATTTGCACTGGTCATAATATGATATTGAACAGGGACATTGTTTTGAGAATTTTCAAATCGAGCATATTGATGAAAATCACACACCTGCAGGCATATACTGCGAACATCAAGATAATTTTTGTTTCTTTTGAATAGAAGAGGGCGAGGGGGAGGGGGGGAGGCTTGATTCCTTGAAAAAAATACCTACAAAATCTTTCTCCTGAGACATACAAATTACACAAGATAAATTCGCAATAGCTTGAATCTCCTTACATTAAATTCTCTCTCTATATATATATATATAACTAATACAGTTTACTAATTACGCGCAAATTTAAAGATTTTTGTGAGATATCGTTTCAAAGACACTATTCTGGCTGGTAAGAAACGTTCCTTAATTTTGACAATTGGCTAACAGAAAATAAAATAATAAATAAAATTCCAAGAAAATTAAGTATACGAATTCGTAGATGGTTGCTGAAAATGGCATTTAAACATTCTGAACACAATTTTAATCAATTTTAGAGTTGTCTTTGACTTAGAAACATTTCTTTTTAACCGCACTGCTAGAATTTTCAAAGATATGAGAAAGAAATAATAACAAAAAATTCAAAAGTACATTTATCTATTACCTTATCTTTCGTTTACTTTACAAATTGAAAGAAAAAACATTATTTTTCTAATCTCACCTGACAAAACGCACTGGGGTTCCCCAAAGTGTTTGTGGATGCATTTTTCATTGATTTCACAAGTTAATTCTGAGCAAGTCTCAATAAGAACCTGAAAATTATTTACAAAAGAAAAAAAAGGATCATCCTTTTTCAACAGATTAAAATACAAAATAATGATATTTTTACGATTTGGAACTTTCGACTAACAATTTTGATTACAAAAAAAAAAAAAGAAAAAAAAAACAAAAAACAAATGATTGCGCCCATGTAAAAAGGGCGTTTCTGCGCTGACATTCACCATCGCTCTGCAGAACTAAATGACGTTATTTCTCTATTCTAGAAAAAAAAATGCCATTATATAGAGCTATTGTCATGTGAAAGATTATATATCTTAGAAGTCGCGGAGAAAGGAGTTGATCCTTACGTCGCGGATTCAAATCCCACTGTGGGACGTGGAGACTGGTCCTTCGGATGAGACCGTATAAACCGAAGTCCCGTGTTGCAGTAGTTGCTGGCACGAAAAAAGATCCTTCACTGCTCAATGGCCCTAAGTGCTGAGCATTGGTAAAAATTTGCAGCTCTCCACCGGCAAGTGGTGGCGTCTCCATATGAGTGAAAAATTCTCGAGAGGGACGATAAACAACAAACAAACAAAAATATATCTTAGATAAATTCAACGGTATAGAAAAAAAGTAGGCAGTTTCAACATATCATCTACAGTACAAAGTAGAATAACTTGAATTAAAAATAATTTTACACAATATAGCGTCAATATAATACCCTACCCGCTCCTCATTACATAGCATTTGCTTTCAAATCAGTTGATTTTACTTCAAATACGAATTCGGTAGCCATATAATATTTGATGTTGGTAAACAACCATGTTTTTTTTTCTATAAACGTTCACAAAACATTTTAAATGAATATAACATAAACTGCATTTTACAGACCTGTAAAATTTGTTGACCTTTATTAAGAGTGGAATAATGCATAAGAATTGTATTATTCCAATGAACTTTTAAGCTTGATTGCTGTTCGTCATCTTCTTATGAATCTATCGTATAGTGTATTTTCAATAAGAAATTCAATTTCTCACTCCCTCTTCTCTCTCGATAGATAATTTAGATAGATTATATACATAGCTAGATATTTACCTTATCCCAGTTCTTTATGTCAGTGTATATCCAGCCCGAATCTTCTATGTACACTGCTGGTTCAGTTGTGTTACTTTCAAAGTTATTTTCACAAAAGTTCGCTCCTTTGTAATAATTCACGGATTTACACCTTGTGGTTCTTAAACATTCTTCTACACAGTCCAGTATACTATAGTTCATGTAAGATTCTATCATTCTTTGAAATAACCTGTATCCAAACTGTAACGTGGAATAACTGTTTTTTAAATTTCCATTGCAACATGAAAGAATATTAAGCAT